ATCATTTTCACCGTTGGACGTATTTAAATAATAAATCAAAATACTCATTACGCCACACAGGCCCAATCCTTTGGAATAGTCTAAATTTAAGTAACTTTAATATTCAATTTAATAACTCATTTAAAAGGCAATATAAAAAATATTTGATTGGAAATTATTGATTTTTTTGTTGTTGTTGTTTTTGTTGATTTTTTATTTTGTGTTTTGGTATATGATGATACAGTATTGTTGGTACTTGTTATTTTTTTGCAATATATATTCATACATTATTTAAATTGTAGGGTCGTACACTCTTACAAGCCTACCCTTGGCTTTTTACGTACGCCTCCTTTTCCATTCATTTTTACAATATTATTATGAAACTTATGTATTTATTTTTTGTACCATTTTTACTAAATGTTGTATATAATGCTATTGTGTTTTATATTTGATGTTGTTGTATTTTTATGAATTGGAATAAAGATTGAAATGAAAGAGCCCGATGACGAGGGCGCTGGCTGGGAGATTAGAGAAACAATACACCTTTTATGAACCAATTCTAAAGGTCCCCTTAATGGTATTTAATGGCATTAACGGATTAAATACTGATTGCATATAGTGCTCGATAAAATCTTGGGTTTGGGCACATTTTCTGATGCAAGTTTCACGTCAATTATAGGACAGGAAGCAATGTGTTTGGACGTGTCGTATGTTTATCATGATGTAAATCCTACTAACATCGTTTGCCATTATGGATTATTTCGGATATGAGAGGTGGTGAAAAGAGTAGAAGAAAGATTGGGAAAGAATGAAGTAAACATTTTGCATGAAAAAGCGGGTGAAATAGATGATCAAAATTAGAGGAAGAAAGAGGATGCAAGAGAGAGATGGAGGCTGTTGAAAGATCAGAGGACTGAGTAAATGATACGTTAAGGTAGAATGAGAGAGGATATATGAGAATTGGTGAAAATAGTAAAGCAAGCAGTGGCGGATCCAGGGTTTTCCAATTGGGGGGGGGGGGGGGGGGGGGGGGGGCAGAAATTTAAACATTTTTTTCTTGTTGCTCGAGGGGGGGGGGGGGGTAGTGTGAGCACTACAACTATAATCATGTTTTACTCAACAGCCCCTCCCTGCCCCCTTCTTGAGAAAAAAAGTAACTTTGTGGTTACCATCTTATTTTAAAACTTGTTTGGGCAGGGGTGGGGGCCGTCAGTGTTTTTTGCCAGGGAGGAAGGGCCCCCGTTGCCCCCCCCCCCCTCCACCCCTCTATTGGAAAATCCTGAATCCGCCAATGCTTCCTAAATTTTGTTAATTTCCAATCTAAATGGTCCGTACGCTCTAATAATTGAACAATGGTGTTCTCATGCCACGTGGCATTACTCTGTATCGTTATCCAGTCACAACAACGGCTTGCAAAATAATGACATATTTATTACATTCCCGCCATGTCCCGAGTCGGCGCTCTCGGAACAAAGGTGCGTAACACTTCGCGGTGTTTTAGAACTTTGGTGTTGATTGACATGACACCACATTTAAGATACGCAATCGGCCTATACAGTGCCTCCCAGGAAAAAAAAACGAAACCGACAATTGTCAATGTTTTATCATAACTTAATCACAATTATAAGAGGAGAATGGGTATGAATAAAGGACACTATAGAGAGAGGAAAAAGATGGAGAGAAGAAGAGACTGGATAAATGATACTAAATAGAAGGAAATAGATGGAGAGAAGAAGAGACTGGGTAAGAATAAAGGATACTAAAGAGAGAGGAAATACATGGAGAGAAGAAGAGACTGGGTAGGAATAAAGGATACTAGAGAGAAGGAAATAGATCGGGATGAGAAGAGACTGGGTAGGAATAAATGATACTATAGAGAGGGGAAATAGATGGGGAGAAGAGGAGACCCGGGGAAGAATAACTAGAGAGAGGAAATAGATGGGGAGAAGAGGAGACTCGTTAAGAATAAAAGATACTAGAGGAAATAGATGGGGAGAAGAGGAGACTCGTTAAGAGTAAAGGATAATAGAGAGAGGAAGTAGATGGGGGAAGAGGAGACATTGACGTTGTTATTTTTATGCTTCTACTTCTTTCTCTTGTTTCTCACATCGCAACTATCTTATTTTTAGTATGTTTGAATATTTACACACATTCGTTCTCATGATTAACCCTTGACATCACTTGGAAATCGATAAAATAAACCTATGATTTCAGCTCTGCATAGCAGTTTTTTCAGCATGTCCGTACTCATCAATATTCATGAGCGCATAATCACGCACGCTGTTATGTTGGCAAGGCTCCAAGAAGTCATGTCATATCGTGGGAACCAAAACTTTCTCCCTGCCTGGGTACGTAGAGACCGTACATTGCGTAACATACACTTTCTCTGTCATCAAGTCACACAGAAGAGATTGAGATAAGAGTCGAGTTGTTAAATGATTTAATTATGTCAATAAGATAAGAGATAAATTTGTTTCTCTGGGGACTTGCTGGTTGAAGACTGGTGGAATGTGACATGGGCCACCTCACGTTGAAATGTGAAAATCGCGCCGATCGATATTTCGGGGGAGGGGGGAGGGGGGGTGAGCACTAATTTTTGTTCTTTCTTTTTGGGGATTAGTGAGCCTAATTTTAGGAGAGTTCGTTGTGCTTTGGCATGCGAAAGAAATTGAATTGGCTTATCGGCAATCTTTACAAATCAATATATATATTTTTTTTAAAGAAACATGATTTTCAATGCAAACTCATGGACAGTGCTATCAAGAAATGACAAAGACCGTTTGAGACCATGAAAGATAGAGCATTTCGGAGTGCGATCATGTTATGACTTACGGACGGTTATGCTTCTCCAACTCCAACATTAGTAACTGAGCTGATCGAGGCGATTGGAGACGCCGCCCGCCGGCGAGCATCAACTGGTCAGCTAATTTTTATAAGCCCACGTTTTCGCGCGGCGCGATCACAACCTTAGCCGTCGACAGAAATATAAGGAATGAAAGCATTTCTCCCGGCGTCATTCATCGTTTAAGTGATTAAACAATTATGGCAAAGCGACGTGCGAATCCTTTCCGTTTGATACATGACAAAGGGAGTGACGTACGTGATGGTTCATTACGAGACTTTCTTGAAAATCTCGTGGTACATTTTCGTGGTAATTACCGCCATTTGTGTACCGCACAGGGAAGAGTTACCGCGGGAGTACCGCGGGACTCAATCTTGGATTGATTCCCGCGAGACCCGGCGGTAATCTGTCTACTTTATTTCGAGCAATACTGTACATATATGACCCTTTGATCTTTGACCTCATGACCCTAAAATCTACTCAGTTCATTGGCTCTGCAAGATGTCCTGAGTTAAATAGTAATCCATCTGTCAGTTCTAATGAGAATGTGTTCACAAGCTATTTCTGCATACATAATGAGCCCATGACCTTTGACCTTTGACCGTACGAACCAAGAATCTACTCAGTTCATTGGCTCTGCAAGTAACATACATGACCTAATTTTGGCAGGAATCCATCAATCGGTTCTTGAGAACGCGATCATGAGCTGTTTTTGCATATATAATGTGCATTGTGGCCTTTGACCTTTGACCTCGTGACCCCAAAATCTAATCAGTTCATCTGCTCTGCAAGTAACATACATGACCTAAGTTTAGCAGCAATCGATCAATCGGTTCTTGAGATAACGCAATCACGAGCTGTTTTTGCATACATAATGTGCGCTGTGGCCTTTGACCTTTGACCTCGTGACCCCAAAATCTAATCACTTCATCGGTTCTGCAAGTAACATACATGACCTTAGTTTGGCAGCAATCCATCTCTCGATTCTTGAGATAACGCGATCACGAGCTGTTTTTGCATACATAATGAGCCCTGTGACCTTTGACCTTTAACCTCATGACCCCAAAATCTAATCAGTTCTTTGACTCTGCAAGATACATACATGACCAAAGTTTGGCAGGAATCCATCAATCGGTTCTTCAGATAACGCGATCACGAGCTGTTTTTGCATACATAATGAGCCCTGTGACCTTTGACCTTTGACCTCGTAACCCCAAAATCTAATCAGTTCATCGGCTCTGCAAGATACATACATGACCAAAGTTTGGCAGGAATCCATCAATCGGTTCTTCAGATAACGCGATCACGAGAGCGGGACGTACGTACGTACAGACGGACGGACGGACGGACAACCCGAAAACATAATGCCTCCGGCTACTTCGTAACGGAGGCATAATAACACAGGATGGGATCACTACATAATGCCACACTAGTTATCCACTTCAAGACAAAGTATGTAAATATTTTCGTACAAATTAACTAAAATACAGCCCGTCTGTTTGAATAGGAACTGACCATTATGTAATATGATATAATGAAAACATTTCTAAGTACAAAGTGCAAATTCATCAACTTAATATGATATATATTTCCATGTGCATTATTCTCTGTATTTTTCCTACAAAGACATAACTGACATACTTTCTCATGGTAGAGAATTACAAAGAATGATACAGCTAAAGATATCAGGCTGCATATGATGCGGTGGGGGGCTTCACCTTTTTTTCCATCTCCCCTTTTTTCCACCTATCCTGAATTCTATTTGCAATGATCTTTCATGGGCAATACTCTGATTATTACCAGTACTATTCATTTATTAATTATTACTGTCAACTTTCATTTGTCAAACATGCCTTGACTTTATCAGAGGGCTACATATGTATGTTGCAAGTCATATCATATGACAGGCTATCCCTCTCGGCAACTCATACCCATATATGTCTTCATCATAATGCTGATATCTTGAAGCCCCACTGTACTACTTGTAGCTACTTGCTCCCTCTATATAGAAAACAATGCCTAATCGGTGACCCTTGGTCCCCCATGATCCTCTTTTTCTTATGTTAATTGAGAGTTGAATTGATGAGATAGCCACCTGTCAGTGACCACCCTGGGTGGTCTAATCCCTCCTAGCCAAACGAGTACAGACAACCTTTAAGTTACAGTTTATCTTGTATACCTGAGTTGATATAGAGCTGCTATCTGAAAACCTTGGTCTTGCTGGCTTTGGTGATTGTGACGAGTGGGAGATGTAGTCATTGCTGTTACCACATGGTGAAGACATAATTTGCTGTAGATACACATAATAAAAGTAAATAAAACAATCACATTTATTACTGCACGCTTGTACATTCCTTGACTCATAAATGACATCCGCATGTGCATCCTAAATTTTAAACACCGTACCTGCAACTTGGAAGTATGATACTCAAAATTTTGATTAAGCAGGCAGTTTCAGCACATTCATGTAATAAATATGTCATTCCTGAAATATTTGAACATGACATTTATTTGAATGTTAATGGCCTGATTTCAAAATCTCTACTATACTCGGAGTAAATTTTCAAAGGTGTTATTAACAATACACCGACATGACTAAATGTACATGTATAAATAACATAAAACAATGCCCTGTAATATGATTACATCTGAGAACTTGTCCATAATTTATAGCCAAGTGATGACTCGTAATGACTCATGATGACTTTCGATTGTCATTGTATGAATACAGATATATGCAAGTCGTTGACTCAAATTATAACAAGTCACAAATGTTCGACACTGTCTATTTGGCTGCTCAAAAACCGGGGTCTCGTTTCATAAAAACAGTTATCAATAACAAATGTTAAATTTCTATGGCAATTTTCCCTCAGCCAATCAATGCCACAATTTCAGTAGCTTAGCAGTTATTATAACTCGTTATTGATAACCAGTTTTATAAAAACTTAGGAAAATATCTCCAGTGGTCCACATTCACAAGTTTCACAATGCAGTTTAACTTTATATTTACACTTAATTTGTTTAACCATCACTTAAAGGTAAAGACCAGTATTGGAAACGCCCCAATTTCAAAAAATGAAATAGAAGCTCTCATTACCAATCATGTAAAAGAATATGTTTTGACTAATACATGATGATAAAAAATTTGCCGGGAAACCTCCTACTAATTCATATATTTGGTAAATTTGTTTCTCTCATGGTCTGTGAGAGATATAGGGTAGTCCCATATACATCTTTCTGTGTATAGTGCTTGTAACTTTACAAAGAATGAGCCAAATTTCTTATCATTTTGATGATTCCAGAACCTTGCAGTACATCTATGCTAGATGATCAACCTTTTCTGATCGATTCCCCAACGTTTCTTTCACAATACAATCGTATGACCATAACTGGTCTTTACCTTTAAACTTTCTTCCAGTGAAACAAATATAAATAATATTGCTAGTAGAGGAAATAGAGGTGTCATGTTCTTGTGGATACGTCACAGGATTGTGGATCCCAAGGATCGTCGGTTTGAGTCCCGCTACAGCACAAATGTCCTCTGGCAAGATATTAATCTACATCTGCCACCCTCTAACCAGGTGTAGTAAATCGGTATCACGTAGGAATACATGTAGGGGCAGGTGTGTTAAAGCCAGGGTGATAATACTAGTTTTTAGGCTCCTTAGGTATCTTTTAAAATAGATACATGCCCAATATGAATGTAGCTATTATGATTGTTTTTATTAAAGCTGGTAAAATTCCTTGGAGACAGAGATAAGATAACTTACACTAGGATATGCGCTGGGTGGAGGTGACTTGGGTAAGATACCTATTCCAAGACTGGTTCTTCCTGGACTTAATGATGTTGCTGCCTGGAAATTCAAAGTACATTGATTGACAGTGATTAGTATGACCTGTCAGATCAATTATTAATACTACTAGCAGGACCCGCGGAAATCCGCGGGATTCTAGAGGGGGGCGGGGGGTGTAAATAGATATAGAGAGACTGCCTAAATTAAAACCACCAAGAACTTTATTTGCCATTCAGGCCATTATAAAAATATACATGTTTAGCGTCCCCGCCCGTTTCCTTTTTGGGGGCCGCCTTCTATTTTTTTTTTTTGAAATTTTTTTGAATTTTTTTTGAATTTTTTTTTTTTTTTTTGAAATAAAAAAAAAACAGCGTCCCCGCCTGCTTCCTTTTTGGGGGCCGCCTCCTATTTTTTTTTTTTTTTTTTATTTATTTATTTATTTTTTTTAATTTTTTAATTTTTTGGAATTGTTTAATATTTTTTTTTTTTTTTTTTTTTTTTGAAAGAAAAAAAAAAACAGCGTCCCCGTTTGCTTCCTTTTTGGGGGCCGCCTCCTATTTTAATTTTTTTTAATTTTTTTTTTAATTTTAATTTTTTTATTTTTTGAAAGAAAAAAAACATGAAAAGCACTGCTAAAATGTATTTCTGATTTAAAAAAAAAAAAAAAAAAAATTGTCGGCCGCCATCTTGAAAAATAGCCAGAGTGTCAGGGAAAATGTACGGAGCGTCCATTTTGAAAGAAAAAAAAAAAAAAAAGGGCCTCCTCCTTCCCATTTTTCGAAAAAAACAGGACGCTAAACATGTTTTTTTTTTAATTTGGCCTCATATAAAAAAAAAAAAAATGATCCAACTGTACCTGTAGTTATTCTATAAGCCACTGGAACTGCGTAGAGTTCCGTAGTGTGGCGTACCGACTACGCAGAAATTAGGCTGCGTATTAATGGGAAAATAGTCCCTGCGTAGGTTATGCGTAGGCTGGCGTACAGGTTTGCTTATGGTTGCTTACTGTGTAGAAAGCTTTTACTGCTTTGACGATCTGGCGTAGGGTAGCGTACTGTTGCGTAGTCAAGTAGCGTAGTGTTGCGTAAAAAGGCGTACTTTCTGCGTCAAGTTTCTACGCCGAAAGTACGCGAAAAAAATTAAACATGTTGAATTGTTTTCGTTCATCTTGCGTACCCAGTTCCGTCCCTCAGCATATAGTAATGTAGGCCAGCGTAGTTGGTACGCAACACTACGCAACTCTACGTATTGACCCCACGCCAATTAGTGACCCGCAAGTGTCACAAATAAAGTATTAAAAATATGCTCATCTGACCCTAATTAAACGCCTAAAACCCCCGAGCTTTCGGGGGTTTATGGACCCTTGAAACCCGTGGACCCCACGCCTATACACTCAACTCGCTGCAATCTGATTTCTCCCCCCCCCCCACCAACTTTGAAGAACGTAACCCTGAGCTTTTTGGGGTTTATGGCCCCTTGAAACCCGGGGACCCCACGCCTACATTATATATACACTCAACTCAGGACCCGCGGAAATCGCGGGATTCTAGAGGGGGGCGCAGGCAGAAAATTAAGATTTTCATTTCGGGGGCTCTATTTCAAATTTTTTGAAAAATTTTCGTGGGCTACTTTTTTCAACTTTCGGGGGCTCTTTTTTCTGGGGCTACTTTTTCATTAATTCATCAAAGGATATAGGCCTTCACTTTGTTGAGATTGTTTAGAAGGCTCAGGTACTTTCAGGCTACCTACTTCATAATTGCCTATTTAAAAAAAATAAAAAAATTCTAGTTCAATAACTAAGTTTTCATGCATTGATTTGATGCAAGAACTGTAACATAATAGACCCTAGATTGTGATTATTTCTGACCATGAATTTCGATAATCATTCTTCAAAGTAAAATTTTCACAAGAAAATCAGGTAGTCGTTTAAAAACGTAGACATGAGTAATTCTTTTACTAATTCTTAGCTCAGGTTTCGTAAATCTATTCACGAAACTATATTGAAATCGCGGCAATAATGATGCAAACCAACAGATAACAATTTCAAAGTGTCAAATCTCTTCGACTCGAGCTCAGCTCAGCTTAACTCACACACACTACAGCGTAACTCCATAGCTCGAACACCGGCGCCGCAGGCGTCGGACGCCTGCGGTGCTCGGTGCCGGTGTTGGAGCTTCCTGCAAGCTCGTCTCAACTCACACACACTGAACAGAAGCCCTGCACTGTATGAAGGCAGCTTGCGACTAAACTGTCAGTCCAATGGTTTTCTTGTGAAAACTTTCCTTTAGAAAATGATAATAAAAATTTAGTATAGGTCTAGACTATATGGCCGTAGTAATCATAAAATAAGCTTTGATTTCATACCTCCATTCACGAAAACTATATCAAAATCGCGGCAATCATGATGGAAAAAGGTCTCAAAGTTTGGACGTGGACGGGATCGAAGCTCGTATCTCTGTGGCTTGTGCAGCTACTACAAAGGATATCCTATAGAAAGATGCTTTACTCGGGTAAGCCCGACCGTGTGCATCGTGCATTTAATACGCAACTTAATGTGAGTTGCTCGTCGTCTGTCGTGTGTCTAAGGATGTCATGTTGAATATCCATGAGGTATCTCTGTCGTCACGCATATCCTGCATTATGCATGTCGCGTCCGTTTTCGCCCTGGACGTCGACACGGAGGAGGACCTCGGGCGGAGTATAGCCAATTCGCTAGAGTAGACTCTCCCGCGGACGATGGCACCGGGCACGGGTACCCCGAGGGCAGGGTTCAGGAGGAGATAGCCGCACCAACTTGGGTCGGCGATCTCATTAAAAAACAATAGAATACAAAGGCCGGCGGAGACGTCGCGCCCCCCGCGGAGCCTTAGCGTATTATTATTATAGATGACAACATGGAAAAACAGTTGTTTATCTAATAATGAGATACAGAGAAAAAGAAAAAACAAGGGAAACGCTCTCGCCTGCATTACGCAATTCAGTATGATGAAAAATGGAGGTTGGGACATTATTCATAGGCAGGGTGGCCCATTAGCAGGCCCTACCCCCCCCCCCCCCCCCCCCCCCCCCCCCCCCCCAATGAAATCCTCTAAATATAATCAGCATTTTTAAGTGAATATTGACCAAGAGCCATCGGAAGGATTATTAACTATAATTTGTACCAAGATTAATAATTGACCTTGACTCTGTGACCTGGGATTTGCGTCTTAAGATTTGTGATACTTGATAACCCTTGTGTACCAGTTTCATAAAATTTGAACAAACACTTTTGAAATTATGCTAAAATTTCAAAATCTTGATGTTGATGCCACAAAAGAGTCTAAGTTTGTTGACCTGAAATGACCTTTGACCTTAATTTAGTGACCTGAAATTCTACTCACATGATTGGGGATACTTGATAACCCTGTAGTGTAAGTTTCATTGAATAAGAACTTATACTTTCAAAATTATATTGAAAATTCAAAAACTTAATCTGAGGTTAAGTTTTCGATGATGATGCCACAACATAGTCTAAGGCTGTTGACCTGAAATGACCTTTGACCTTGATTTTGTGACCTGAAATTCTGCTCACATGATTGGGAATACTTGATAACCCTTTCGTCCAAGTTTCATTGAATGAGAACTTATACTTTCAAAATTATACTAAAAATTCAAAAACTTAACCTTAGGTTAAGTTTTTGATGTTGACGCAGCCGCTGTCACCGGAAAAGCGGCGCCTATGTCTCCCTTTTTTGCTACGCAGGCGAGACAAAAACTAGTTGCCTATGGAAAGCGAATGGCAAAAATTAATTAACCAGGTAGCAAGCTGTTTGATGAACATTGGGTTGACACTGGATTACTTACCTTGAAATATTCACTAATCTTCTTTGGACCTGAAATTAGGAGAAAATGAAATAAAATAGATATGATATAATCTTTATCCAGTAGTTATCGGTACATTAACTACGCTAACAACAACAACAAACACAAATTAGTGTATTGTACAAATTATTTCTAACTTTGCACTTCACATTAGAACATAGATGTTACTGAAGTATTACACAAAGAACTCAAAACAGATACATTTGAAGTTTGAATATGTTACTTTCATTCCCTAATTAGAACCGGAGTAAATGATCATCATCAGTCTACCAAGACATCACCAAAAGATTTTAATTCAGGATATTATTCACTTTTACAATACCAGGGTATGCCCTTAGATAATTAGATCCTTATACAAGTGTCCTGCAAGGAATTCACACGTGCAATATACTTTTATTTAACACAGTGAAAGTGAAATCATAAGTAGAGCTCACATTCATGTATAAATAGCAGAATTCACAGAACGTTTTAGCGTGTGGCCTCATTATACTCACGTGCACTTATTAAATGTCCTTGTTTTCTCTTTACATGCACTGGAATTTTCTCCAGTATATTAATGTATTGTGAAATACACTTGTACGATGAGTCAGAGCTGTTGTACAAACAATATTCATGCATCTCTATAAATCATTGTAATTGTAGAATTGCAATATTACCTGATGGATCAATATCTTGTCCTTGTCCTTTTCTTTTCCTCTTCTTTCTCTCCTTTTCTGGGGTTTCTGCCTGCATGACCTGTAAAAATGAAATCAGAATCGTTGTAATAAATGACAATCTGCAGATAATAATACTTCAATCTTAAGACAAGTCATATGAAATTCCTAAGTTACAGATCAAGATATTTCCCTACAACTATTTTGTAGGAGTTGATTTAAAATATGCTAGTTGACGCAGCACCTGACTTGTACTACACTCTTTTACACATCACTGCAAATAGTCAAGTATTAATAGGCCTCTGGGCCATAGAAACCATTATTTTCATTGATTTTGTGAACTGATCATTTTCTCATTTCGGGCTATTCTACCGACTCCGAAACAAACTTTGTATGAATCACAGATATCATACAATGTCATACTAATATCAATGAATGATTTGACAACAAATTCCTTATTCAGACAAGGAATTCCGAGCAATCACATTTTCTTTGACTTCAAACAATGAACCCCATATGACATCTTAGAACTCTAACCTTAATCGTATATTGAATTGCAACCTCAGCTCCTAAACCTATTTTTGATGAAGTAGAGCGTAAAGCAAATGTCGCTGGAGGCCTGGAACACTAAACGTATGGACTTCCTACCGTAGGTCCAGGGTGCTCCATAAACAAAATTCCATTCCTCTAAAGAGGAAGATTCATACCTTCCACTGCTACATCTATAAACCCATTGTGGATTACCCTAAGATCAACTAAACCATCACAGAAGATTTTACATTTAGAGCATTACATCTAAGACTTTTTTCATTTGAGGAAGGACAAATTAAATCTGGTCGTTTGCTGCTCTCTACTTGCGGACAGGAGGACTGCATTTGTTGATTGTTGTTGGCAGTAGAAGAGCAGTAGAGGATAGCTATATTATACGTTTCACATGTACCTGTATGTAGAGTTTGGCTAACTTTGGGTGCGTTTATCGGGTCTTGCCACTAGATATGTACATATCGAACCCCACTATATGAATGTGATTTTTGGAATGTCGTGTTTATCGTCTCTTTACGATTCAAAATAAAGGCCTCGTCTCTGCGCAGCTGCTTTGCACCGTTTGACCCGGGAAGCAGAGAGTTGTTCGGAGATCAACTAGGGCATAGCACATGGTGTGCACTATTTCGCTGACCGGAAATTAGCCGGGAAAGGTCTGATTTGTATGTGGGGTTCAAAACAGCTTTGCGTTTATCATGTCTCAGAATCGTGATTCTAGCTGTATGTCATATTCAAAACACACCTTTTTGCGTCTTTAGAAATGCCCATACCTAAAGACGTTTAAAAAAGGCTTTGCGTTTATCACCTTCAAAATTTGCCTGAAAGACGTTTGAGAAACCTGATTCTAGGCAAAAATTTGGTGAATAAACGCACCCTATGTCTCAGTTGGACATACCATAGCATATGTTCTTTTATTTTGTACTTGCCCTACAAAGCAGTTCTTGCCATACTCAAACCAGGTTGGTCAATTTCTCCTAATCAATGGGTCTGAGTTTCACCATGCCTATATTGGTTTAGGAGCAGGGTTAGGTTATTTGACGAGTGCCTACACGTACGTACCTCTAAATCATCACTGGGTGAGCCGCGGCTACAAGTGCTGGTGCTATGATTGGAATCATCAGCTATCATGATGGGTTGCTGCTGAGAACGGTTGCCTTTGATGCGGGCTTCCAGCAGCTCCAGCTTCTGTGGATCAAAATGCCTGAACTCCTGCATGATGGGACCTTCGTCCTCGCTAGTTACCGCACGAAACAGATCTTCTACGATGACAGTATGATCGGCAGTCTTTTAGGGAACAGCTTTGCTTCACTGGCATAAGGAAATAAAAGGAAATATTATATTAACACATCGACTCCTGAATTGTCTCATTTCCATAGGCTAAAACCCGGAACCACTTACATGTAGTTCCCGTCGAAAATGGGTTCATCAAAATTAAAGAACATCCATTTTGAAAGTAAGTTACCTGCTAATACCATTAACATCGAGGCTTCATTAAGTTGCGAGGTGGTATACCAGAGCAGGTATTCTATGACATAAAGTTTAATATGGTTCACACTTCTGTATCTTAATAACACAGAGCTAAGTGTAGAACCTTCGCTGAGCAAAGGTGCCATTCATTAAAACAAAACAAACATGGCATATCCAGGGAATAATTTTCCTGGTATCGCATCGCAATTTGCTATGCATTTTTGCATGACTGCTATACAAAATATCTTTTGTGTAGCAGTTTTCTTCCATAGAAATGTACAGAATTTCATTTGAAATATTTATCCATCGGCTGAAATTGCTAATCAAAAAATTTGAGGAAAATTATTCCCTGCATATCTACTTCAATTTGAAAAGCCGAACAGAAAATTTGGATACACATGTCTGTAAAATTGAGATATTGTTAACAGGTAAACTCTATGCGACTACAGTGTATGTCCATTTTGATTTTAAGTCTGTTAATAGATTCAAATACCATGGACAGTATAGGACAGGGTTTGTTTAATTTTAGCTCGAAAGGGAAACCCAATTTTGGAACTATTTGTTCCATATTTACTTTCACTTTATATCAATACCATTGAAGTACATTTTTTGTAACAAAAAAAAAGAAGAAAAAAATCTCAACCCCCCCAAAAAATGAGAAAAACCCTGAAAAATAAAATGTTGCCATGACAATTAATATCAGATATGACTCATTTTCATTGTGCTAGAGGTCTAAGTAAAGTCTTTAAAATAGAGACTTTGCCACCAAGTGCTGAGGAAAAAACCAGACTCTCCAGAGGCTTGAGCCAGGATAATTGGCATGGGCATCGTTTCACAAAACCGTCTTAAACAAAAGTTAATCAACATTCAATTTCATTCCAAATGTGTGTATTATATCTAACATGCATTTCAATGGGATGTCAGCGAACTTGTACCTAGTATCACCAATGATGATTTCGTAAAATGATATCAATGAATGGAGCTCCCCACATGGAAACTGGCCAAAATCTACTCTTTTAATTCAGAAACTGACATCACAATGGAGCGATCATGTGTGTGTCTCACTGTATATCTACTGGCCATCGAAGACAAAGCATGTGCGATAGGACACTTATGTTTTTGATGCACAGAAAATAAACAGTCCTAGAGTCTAGGCCTAGAATTTTGAAGGAAAATGGTGCAGATTCTGCATTCGTAAAACTCAGACGAGTAATTTGGGGGACCAACCAACCAATAAGGCAATATCAGAGACGCCAAAATTCAAAGATCAGCTATGCGCGACATATTCATGACTCGGCACGCGAGCAGGGGTATAACGTACGTTAAGCGTTTTTCGAAATTGCCCGCACGAGTCGTGCGGGAGAGCATTTTCAGACCCTACGTCACGCATGATGCGTGACACAATGGTAGTTGGTAGCTCTGAACTTCTGAAGTGTGAATGTGATTCACTGATTGTGAATCATATTCATAACAAAAATAAGAATTTGACATAATGCCAGACAAATAATCTATTTTGTTGACATCAACCTGCATGTTCACTTTTGTATTTTGTATAGGCCTACCTAATACTCAACAGGCTAAATTTTTCACCATGCAACATTTGTCGGCCATGTATCTGTCTGCTTGGTCGAAGGAGGGCCCTGCTAAACTAGCACTGAAGCTGCACACACGAGCACAACACAACGCATTTTTTACCTGGCCGAAGTCACATCAGACAGCACCGCACAAAATACATGTGAAGTCGCGAAAAATACTCTCACATAGCGAGTAAACATCGAACGATTTCACGACTAGTACTTGACAGAAATTAACCATTCAGTTGCAGTTAGGTCATTTAACACACATTTCATCATATAACTCAATATCTTCGCAAAATCATGTTATTCAAAGGACAAATTTTGTGGCTGAATGTGCTTACCTTCGTGCTATTTTTCGGTGAAAACAGTTCATCATGACGTCACACAATTCATGGACTTGATAATCGATAATCGGTCAGTTCGCGGGGTTTCCTCGCGGACTTCTTGCCGAATGCATTCTCCAGAGGAAGTACGTGAGTCTCAATGAGAGGTAGTTGATTTTTGTCATAACAATTTTGAGAATATAAAGCAAGCATTAGCTTTGTACCTAGATTCTTACAATAAAAAATCAAAAGTTTCACTGAAAAAACAGTTTCCACCATCGACTAGGCAAAATATTGAAGGAAACTGCAAGACAATTGTGAATAAGGTTACTGACCTTGACCTAAATTTTTACGACACACCCGTCTGGCTAGTGGAAAAGTCCAATGAACCTCAGCGCGCGCGCATAACCCTCAGACGACCTTTGACCCAATAATCGATAAAATGTCAATGAGGCATGAAGATCAATCTCATTTGCATATTGGGTTTGAACTTTCTGACCTTTAAAGGTTGCATGGTTGCGGCGGCGTGCAGATGGATTTATTTGTGTTAGCAAAAACGGGATTTCGCGCGAAAGTGCAGCAATATTCTTTGTTGCTGAATTTCTTGAGGCCATTGTTCACGCTCTACAGCTGCAACGATACAGTCCTGGGACATGCAGGTAGACTATATACAGCTCGATCTATATTTTCTCCAATCTTTGAAATCCCCAATCTTTGAAATCCCCAAAGTCTATATCTGTCTATCTCTTTCTTTTTATGTCTCTGTCGACTGTCGCTAACTTTGCTCTAGGTCTCTGCTTCCCCATCTTTCGTATTCTAGCTCTCACATGATTCTCCTCTCTATATCTTGCCATGCTAGCTCTCTCCCTCTCTCTCTCTCTCTCTCTCTCACGCTCCGCCTTATACTCTCAATCTCACTTGTAAATCAATTCAGCTACATTATGTTCATTCCGATTGAAGTGATGATCATCAGTACAACCAGGCGGGCGGCGATTTCTTTTCATAACCAAGGGGGGGGGGGGGGACGAAATGCGAGGGACGATCGAGGGAGCAGTGGCGTAATTAATGAGCAAAAACCGCACCCCAACTAACATGTTAGATGCAGGCAGTGGCGGGCCCCTCCCCTGGGAAAAACACAGGCAAAAACACGTTAAGTTAATTTTACCTTTATTTGGTGACGGGCCCACTCCCCTGGGCCTCAAGGGGGGGGGGGGGGGGGGGAGGGTCCGAATTTTCAAATTTTCGAGGGCGACAAAATTAGTATTGCTCGCAATTTTTTGTTTGTCTAAACGCTGCACTTTTGGGCCCTCCAGAGCCTAAAAGTGTGTCGCAGTCCTTAGTCAGTATTTGCTATACATTTTTGTTGGCACTGTTTCAAATTATCCGGGGGGGACGATCCCCCCCCCCCCCTTAACAAAAATCGAGGGGGACGTGTATCGCCTTGGGCGTGTTAGACTGTTCCAAGTACCTCGTGCGGGTAATTCTTACTAATGCCCTCTCTAATGTGTATTATTTGTATACTATTATATCCTGCATCAAAAACGTTTTGATTTTTGATTGGTTGAGAGCTCGTCATGTGACCAGAAATAGTTCCAAATATTTCAAGGTTGTTTTGAGAAAGTACTTTTTGGGAGTCGGTAAAAAAAAAAAAAAAAAAAAAAAAAATCTGTTTCCTTCCAAATCTTAATTTAATTAACAAAAAAATATTTGAACTTCCTTTTCGAAAAAAATTGAAATCTTTTTAAATTCAAAATTTTATATTTTTCTCAATTTTTTTTTTTTTTTAAATAATTTAAATACATTTTTGATGCAGGATATAAATCAAATATACCATGCCTTTTATTCGAGGTACTAGTTAAAACTATGGGCCTCGGTGACTCCAATAGTACTTTTGGAGCCACCTCTTGCGCATAGTTTTAACCAGAACCTCTCAAGAGTCATGACAGTGTATATTTGTATACTATATGCTTCTACTATACTACCTCTACTTCTGCCGCTGCTGCTACTAATAACGATAAAGATAATAGTATTCGTAATAATAATAATAATAATAATAGTAATATAGGCCTAATAATAAAGGATGATGATGATGGCCAATTTGCCTACCTTGACTTCTCTGTTAATCCCTTCGATATTATAGGCTAGTCTAAAGCCGTCGCACAGTGGGCCAGGGAGGAACCAAAGTGCGCCAAAACTAAGTTTGGGTGATTTTTTTTTTTCAATTTTTTTCTTGCCCAGTTGAAAGGTAATACATAGAGGAATACCTCAGTAAAATATTTAATTCCGTTATGCACAATAAGGGTATAAATTTACTACTTCAAACAGCAAAATCCTACATATTCACAGTTTTAGTGTAAAAGTGACTTATTTTATAAATCTTTCAATTCAACATGAAGTTTTTAAGTTATTGATATGAAATTGCTCTCACATATTCCTGATAGTTCATTTCGTTGAATGAATGGGTTAAAATTAATAGAAACACAATCTTCATGATATATTATAGGGTAATTCACTGAAAAATGGACTAATTATCCATGTTTTTTATAAATCCAGAAGAAATGTTTAGATCTCCGCAGTGTACCGCTTAAATTTTAATACCACCATTTCCTCTGATGTCTAAGCTTTAAGTTGATACCAAATTTGGCTGCCCGATCTTGCCCGTTGTTATGTTAGAGCCGATTTCCCTTGCCACATTGCCCCGAAAAATGTGGGTTTTGGGGGTCCGCGGCTGAATCATGAAGGATTCGTGGTCATAAATCACGGCGCGAGGGGGCGCGTGACACTTATTCTGACACCGCGGACCGAAATAAACACATTTTCGGGGCAATGTTGCAAGGAAAACGGCTCTAACATAATAACGGGCAGAATCGGGCAGCCAAATCTGGTATCAACTTAAAGCTTAGACATCAGAGAAAATGTTGGTAATAAAATTTTAGCGAAAATCCCTGGAAATCCAAACATTTCCTCTGGATTTATAAAAAATAAATCCCCAAACATGAGTTTTGGCGCACTTTGGTTCCTCCCTGGCCCACTGTGCGTCGGTCCTCTGGTTGCTTTAACTGACAATCATTTATGCTTTCTTAGCAGTCAGGTAAAATAACCACCACTACATACAAAGACCTGACTATTTATCATTCATACTCATGTATAGGCCTATATAATCGGCTTCACTGAGTTTCTATACGTAGAGACAATCAAACAAGCAATAAGAGGTGCAGTATTATGCACCTTTATAGATTTTTATCTAAAGAAGTTAATGACCCTTTTCTTTTTAGAAAGAAGACAAAACTGCTGCTTTGTTTCGTCACTATTCTTCCTGATGTATCATAGGTATTATGATTATGTAACTGATAGCCCGGTATACATTTGAAATCGTCATATGCATGCCTGAGGAATGGGAACAACCAAATAGACAAAATGATGGTCCCGTATTGTGCCGTACGCAGGATTTTTTCAAGGGGTGTTTTAAAATTGGATGGCATCATTAATGTGACCCAGCGAAGTAGAGAAGCAACCGAAAAGGTTACAGAGTGTGGGAGTGGGTTATTCAATCAAATGTCGTGAATTTTGATATCCTAGCTTCAAAAAATCCTGGGGTTTTTTCCCTGCATTTCAAGTTTTCACCGTCCTGGGGTTCCCCTGCATTTCAAGTTTTCACGTTTCTCTTTTTTTCCCTCCACGTTTTTCAGAAAATAGAAATCATTATGTATATGTTATGAGCACGTTACAACTAGTGATACTCGACAATTCACATGTCAGATCAAGTAAAATGTGAGGAACCCAGGCGCGTACGCAGGATTTTTTCGAAGGGGGGGGGGGGTTAAATTTTAAAATCGCGCCGAAAATTTCGCAACGACCTAGCCATCCACTGAATAAGCGGGGGGGGGGGGGGGGGGGGGTAAGAGGATATATATTTTGTTTTGGTCCCAAAAAATTTGAACGACTCAGCCAGCCGCTGAATAAGCGGGGGGGGGGGGGGTCGAGGGGGAGGGGGGGGGGTTAAGAGGACATATATATATATATATATATATATTTTGGTCCCAAACGATTGCGGGTTTCTCAATTTGCAAAACAAGGAGGCGAAATTGATTTTGCGAGAATTAAAACATACCAAATAGAAATTGTGGACAAATAGGAGTATATCCATGAGGGATTATTTTTGTTCTTCAAGATTTAACAATCACCTTTACCCGTGGACTAAGGCGTAAAACGATGGCCGGTTTCTCAATTCACAAAACAAGGAGGCGAAATTGATTTTGCGAGTCATGGTTACCTCAAAATCATTTTCAATGATAGTATACCCCACCCCAGCCGAAACACAATCTCTTCCCCTCTCTCTCTCTCTCACACACACACAAACACACGCACACACACACACACATGCTCGATACCCCTCTGTTTCATGTGAAAGCCTGATATCATCAAAGGGTCGTTTTTTTAATTTTGTCTTTCTTTGTCTTTCTCCGCTTAAAGGGCCTATAACATCGAAATACAAGTGTATTTCTGTTGGTGTGCAGTCCTGCATACATCTCATATTTTGATATGTAAACTTCTAAATTTGTTTCATCGATTTTTAAATATTTTTTGAAATATTTGTTTTTCAAACTTGCTAAGCTCCACCCCAAAAACCTCCAGATCTCATTCCCCTTGTGACATCATCTGTCAGTCATCAATGAGCTAACTTTAGAAAGCGGCATGTAACTTTGCCAAAGTTGACCACCTGTTACAATACCACAAACAATAGCAATATATAAGTTTCTATGTCAGACATGTCAGACTAAACTAATATTCTAGAATAGACAATGGTATGTAATTTCCCCCAGCTTAGCACACGTTAATAATATAATTACATGCTTCCATAGATAATGTACAATACATCATCATTGCCTTTGTCTTCCTGGTGATGCTACAGCATGTCTGACAAAGCAACTTGTATGTTGCTATTGTATTACGAATTCACAGGTGGTCGACTACGGCAAATATACATACCACTTCTCAAGTTAGCTCATTGATGACTAACAGATGATGTCACAAGGGGAATGAGATCTGGAGGTTTTTGGGGTGGAGCTTAGCAAGTTTGAAAAACAAATATTTCAAAAAATATTTCAAAATCTATAAAACAAATTCAGAAGTTTAAATATCAAAATATGAGATGTATGCAGGACTGCACACCAACAGAAATACACTTGTATTTCGA